GCATTGTACTTACCAGCATTGTACTATCCCGGCGACGCTTTCAGGTCGGATTAGGAAGCAGATCGACTCTCTTTGGGTGATTGCCTGGGCAACGCACATCTGTCGGCTGATATGCGAAGAAGAGCGGGCAAGAAAACCAGATAAGTTAAACGGTGGATTTGGGAACTGCGGATGTAAATGGGAACACACAAAGGTAAATATTTCTTATATACGATTGTAGGATTCTTTCTACTTGTCGTAGGAGTCCTAGTTAAGATGGCAGGATCCTCACGGTAAGGGCCCCTGAATAAGCTTTGGTAGCAGAAAAGCCCTCCATAGCAAGACACATGCAACTCATGCCTTTATATGTTGCACTCCATCACATCCTCTAATGCAGACCCGTAAAGAGAAGGCTGATCGCAGCCTAGGGTTTAGGGCTTGCAAGATCCGGAGACCATGCCTTTACAGAATCTGTTCTGTTTACTGATCAAGGGTCTACATCAAGGCTTTCAGTTGCAAAGGCCAAGGAACTCGCAGGCACTGATTCCCGCGCTGTAATGGAAGACATTGGTCTGCACCTGCCAGGAAGGCTTGTCTCGGCCAGAAACCCCAAAAGCCCGAAACTCTAACCGCCCTCGGCATCCCAAAGCGCCAGTATCAACAAGTAACAAGTGCAACATCCAAGCTTAGACCCTAATTGGGACCCGAATTCATCCCTACCTAGACCCCGCAACTACCATCAACTTACCCACTATCAAGGACAATACGGGAGCACTTGGGGGGGGTCCTGGGAGGGTGGCTCCTGCTGTTGTGGATCTGCTAGACAGGCCTGCCGGCTGAAAAGGACAAGAGGAGTAGCCACTCCGCAGTTGCTGCGAGCAGTACAGTTCTCCATGCTCAAACCCTCAACGCTCATTACTGCAGCGCTGAACCCGGCACCCTAAAATCCCACTAGAAGCTGTCCCTAACCCTAAACCTTAAAGGAACTCTAAAAGCCGCATAGGTGCTGCCCAGCCCGGTGCCTGACCGCGGCACATTGCCCGCAGCACGTGGCGACAGAGACGCACCCGACCGGCCCGGGCCAAGCGCGAGAGCACCTGACGGTTTCACACGGTTTTGCGGTTAAAACTTTTAGGATTATTTTCATGTTCACACATGTCATAGCGGGGTTTATAGGCTTATAGGGTTGGCTTGGGGGGCTCATAGGGCAGACGCTGCAGGATTAGCTGCGGAAGTTTTTGAACACTGTAAATGCTGAGAGGTTTCGATTCTACTAGAGTCCCTGGAACAGACGCTTACTACTGTAGGAACCGCAGCATCTAAGCTACGGAGACTTCGCATCGATCAGGCTGGAGTGAAGAGACTCTATGACATGCCGCATGGGTGGTTGTCAAAATTATGGTCCCTTTTTGTGTCCTTAATATAATACGGCACCTAATATTCAGGGTACCCAAAAAGGGACGATAAATTTGACAACTACCCGCATGGCAGACCCGAGCTGATCGAGGCAAAACTATAGGAAGCACTCGTAGCAGCCCTGACTTAAGACTGTAAACATGATTATCATGACATTGCTCGACATCAAACATATTATAAACATGCCTTGACCCATGCCGATGTGGTCGGGACATACTCTCCGGAGCTGCACAAATCCGCTTTCCCAAACAATGGATCCTCCATCCCGGCATTCCAATTCACCAAAGCTCATAGGGATCCTTAGGGGTGTAGGGGGAGGGGGGTAGGGGGCCTTAAGGCCCATAATAAGGACAAATAAGGCCTATTTAAGGAAATATAGTCCCCTACACCCCTCCCCCCTACACCCCTAAGGATCCCTATGAAAAGCCCAGACCTTAGATCCCCAAAACTCCTTGTACCATCCCTACAGGGCCCTTGCACGGAATGAAACCCTAGCCCGAAGAGCGCATGGAACCCTAAAGCCCCTCACCCCCTAACGGTAACCCGCTAAAGCCTAACCCTCCACACACCAAGCCCAAAACCCGTAGCTCTGAAAGCCGCGGGACCTTGGTCGCATGCCGCGGCTCGAGCTGCCAGTCGACAAGCTCGGGCTTCCTTCACGGTTTTGACCACCCTTGTCCTTTTTTCGAAACAATATATATAAACAGAGCCCTATACCTATATCCCTTAGTAGGAATTTATTAAGAAGGTCTACTAGCCGGTCTGTTTACGTATTCCTTTGGGGGAACCATGAAAAAGGACAAGGCTGGTTTTGACAGGGCTTTCCTGCCTACGCAACAGCTACCGGTTGTTAAAAAGGTAGGTTTGTGGCGTCGAGGCTGGGCTCAGAAGTTATTTAGCGGTTAGGGCTTTGGGGACTTCGGTCCTCGGCTGCATGGTACTTCAGGCTCGATCTTGCAAGCCCTTCCAATCTGACAGGAACATGATGTAAACCCAGAGGGTCTATGTTGCTGGATATAAGGACATTGGGGGCCATGTCCGTGCATATAAGATGTGCCCCCCGTGTCTCTATATACAGAGACATGGGCTGATGGGCTTCAGGATGGGAGAATACATATGTGCCTTGAGGGACTGCCTGTTGCCTAATGTTGTGCACAACACCCAAAAAATGGAATCTGATCCGAATGTCTTAACAATCTCAGTCACGAAGGACTGTTTTCACTGCTGCTGCAACGAGGGGTCTTCATGATTGCTTTGCCGACGGTGCGGAAATAAATCCTTGTGTCCATGTACATTGTGCTCACATTGTGCTTGCCAGCTTCTCAGGAAGCTAGTGTTTGCCACTGCACGGCGCATGCCCTTTCTCGTGCAACGTCTGCTTCCGGAACATCTCATAAGACTCTGCCACACGACGGAGTCGACGGGCCAGATCCCGAGCTGATGGCCAAGCCTTGCTTCAAGATCTCATGTAGCTTGCTTAAGCTTGTGGATCTAGCAACTGATTTTACCACCTTTATGCCACCCAGGCACAGAATCCTCCAAGGTCTTAATTGCACGAATAACTTTGCTCATGCTCCAGCGACCCTGGACAATCATGTGCACAGCATCCTTGCTTCTGAAGTGCGGCGTGCGGCCATTGCCAGATGCAGCTCTAGTATTTTGTTTCCCCATCTGCAGTAGATAGGGCTTGAGCTGGTAGGGGCAGCAGCTGCAAAGCGAAAGCTTTCATTGATGGGAGCACCGGCAAAGTAAACTGGGAAACATCACAAGAATCATCATAACCATACGGGGCAGCAGGCAGGAGCAGTAGTCCTAGTAAGCCTTCTTAAGCCCGTCGCAGCCTGGAATGTAAAGTAGGTTATGGTAGAAGCCAGAAAGTTGGAACATGAGTTTCCTCATGCTCCTAAAGTAAAAAGTATAAGGGATCCTAGCACTAATCCTCCTAAACCCATGTTCCAACTTTCTGGCTTGTGCTCTATCATAATCGAATTACACTCTAGATATATAAGTTACAGGCACGTCCCGAATAGACAGGCTCAGTCAAAGAGCAGCAACATGCCATAGATCTTATTTATTTTAATTCCTATGCACTAGTCAGGCTAAAGAAGATCGTAAATTAGATTAGCACCAGCTTTGCATTGCCACCATGTTGCTGGCGCCTCTGCTGCAGCAGACTTTCCAGATATAGTAGCTCGTAGGGGTTATTAGGGATTCATACCTACATGCTTCAAGTAGCACACCCACATACACATACCACAGCATCATTAGGTGCACTCCATTGCACGTGTCACTTTCGAAGGCAGAATCAGACTGCTTCAGCGTGCAACCATCCTAAGCCTAGACTGCCCCTGTGCCATGTGATCTTAAGGCTAGTTTACAGTCCATGCGGCTCAGAGACTTCAGCAGCAACAGACCACATGTAGTGCCCAGGGCGATCTCATTAGGTTGCAGGATCAATATAGACCCCAAACATCCACACATAGGGTTATTATGGAAAAAAACTAAAGATTCAGGGGTTGCCTATTCGGTCTTGCGATAGGAGGATTACTATCCTACAGTCAGCTTCTTGGGTTTCATTCCAATGCTTCGGGCATCTATGCTAGGGTGCAGGGGCTTAGGGCTTAGGGGCTCAAGGGAACTAAACAGAGAGTATTCGCACTGGGACTCTTGTGGCTCTAAGTTGGTCACTTCTACCTGAAATCCTGCCTCGACATCGCCATATCCCTACGGTTGATTTGTTCTGTGTCCAACTGTTTAGGGCAGCAAGGGATCCTAGGGGGGTGATCTTGAGACACCTTAGCACGAAGAATTCGGATTTTCAGTCGGGGACTACAAACAAATGCCAACGGGTACTGAGCTCTCGAGTACTGGGGATCGGGGTGTCGAAGTTTAAAGTTCAGGGTCCACTGCCTCCATGGCGCTTCGGCTTGCTGACATCGACAGCTTTCTCGAGGCACACGGTGGCACACGGATTCATGATCTCGTGATGAATTGCGTCGTGCTATGAGGGAATACCCTCATTTGGCATGGAATTAAGCAGATCGAGCTTACAGCCTTTGTCTAACTTGTTCATACCACCGACAACCTTTCAGGGCTACAGCCTGCAAGCACGAAAGAAACTCAGCAGCTACCAGGGCTCTTGGAGTGGTAGAGCTGCATGTACACACGGGCCAAAGTCATCGTCTCGACGGATCTTTTGTGGCAAGCTTCTGCGATTCCTTGGGCCACTATCTATTGTTATTGACTATTTCCAAGTCATTTGCAATTAGAAAGCACATGTACAGGTGGACAGGTCAACAGCTAAGATCCGTACTCACCATACATCCTACCATGTCCTCCTGCTTGAAGCAGTGATAGGTTCGCGGGTTGATGCCTTGCAATATGAAAGCATGAAGACCCTTGCACACAGACTCAGCATGCAACGAAAGAAATCAGAGCCTCTTGTGGACAAGTTACGATGCTTCACAGCGAAGAATGCCATCTCCTGCCATCCCTGGGTAGAGGTTGTATGTCACTTGACCATGACGCCAGGCTTATGCTTAGAATGGAATCTGAGAACATGACATGAAACTTTGGTTTCACCGGGAAGAGGCATTTCTTCTCGGTCACGGCTTGGTGCGCCAGCTGTAGGTAGGCATCCAAAGAGCAATCCTCAATTGCAAAGTAAGAAGCATTCCGATCAAGCTTTCAAACCAACCACACCAGAAGCCACTCCGAAGCCAAGAAACACACGCACGCTGAAGCCTGCTGGCTTCCTCGATCGTCAGGTAGCGATCGCATTTCTCGCTGATGTTGAACCAGCTTGCAAGGTGCCACCTGGGATTATCGGTGAGTGGATGGGTTTTGCAGGTTTATGGTTTCCTTGGGATGTTTTTAGGGATTGTTTAGAAATCCACATGTCAATATTTTTTGTTGGGGTTGCATACTTTCACATCTAAGATCGAGGTTGCATGGGTAGAGTGCTGGTCGCTTGCGCTATGGAGGTGTTTCGGAGCTACAGGGTTAGTAGGATACTATATACCTTGCAAGTCCCGGTTCTAGATTTCTCCGTACTCGGAACATGAGGTTGGGTTCAGTATATCATTAATTAGACGACCTTGCTCATAATTAGCCAGTACTCATATTCCAGCAGATGCACAGGGAGGTTGCCAACAGCTGCTGAACTTCTGTTTGCATGTGCTGCACCGACTTGTTGGCCATCCATGCAACCACCACTCGTCCCTGCATCAGGGTCAATGGCTGATCTACCATATGATCTGCACTTAATTTATTACCAAACCAGCAGTATTCTACATATGAGCTGAGTTGCATTGTAAGCCTTGCATTGGAACAAGGGGTAGCGATCCATGTTCGACAGCTTGAAGGCCGGCTGGCTGTGACTGAGTTTGACAACTAATGATAAATAATATAGGTTATTAAAAAAACCCTATATAGCTCTTAATGCTACTGAAGACGAGTTGCGGGATACGGTGGGTTTTGGTCCAGGCATCAAACTCGGCAAAAGCAGCCTTAAGCTGCTCCTCCTCCGAGGCATCGCCCCAAAGTCGGTCCCCCGTCATCTGTCGAAAAGCCGAGCCCAGGAGGAACTGAGCCAGCCCCAAGTTCAATGTATGCATCCCACACCAGCGGATGTATTCGGGAGAGAAGTTCATCAGGCGTAGCAAGGAGCCTTTCCCAATTCGTAGTTAGTACCGGGTATGGGATTGGAAACTATTAATATTTTTATAGTTCAATTTCCAATCCCATACCCTGTACTAACTACGAATTAGAGCTTATAAGCTATTAGAATCTGAATAGGGGGATGGGTACTTAGGGTGGGCTATCCTTATCAATGAAACCCGGGTCCTATTAATTGGCAAATTCCAGCCGGTCACACTCCGACTTGCGGCAGGCGTGCTGCTCGAAGTCGGCTCGATCACGCCTCTCATTGAGGTTCCCCGGCACGGACGCATATTCTTGCTTGTGGGCTCTGCAGTGATGGCAAACTTGATTGCAGTTCCAACCCACTCTGAGAGCGAGCCATTCCTGAACGGGTCTCATGAAATTACAAAACTATCAGCAAGTGAGCACTAACAATCCGGCGATAGTACTGGCAACAAAATATGTCGTAGAGGTCTTCATTCTCTGTTCATGATGGTAGACAGTATAGCCTATGAGACGTTTTGTTAAGGAAGGAGTATGGCTTTAAGTTTAGGAGGTAGGTCGAAACCTTATATACTGCTGCCATTGGCTGTAATCCCTGAGGCCGGGCTATTGTTACAATATTATCTGGATCTGTGTTCAGGGCGGGAAAAGGGTTGTGCCCGAGTTGAAACAGGAGTTCACCATGATCAGTTTTGGGCTGCATTCCTGTGATTACCTGCATGCTACTATAGCATGATTGGCTGTATCTACCCAAAACCCCCAAACCCTACCTACCCAACGCCCTAAAACCCTGCCTAGCCTAAACCCTAAAACCCGTACCTTAAACCCTAGCTACTCTAAGCCCTAAACCCCTACCTGTTTTACCTTTAGACACTAGCTACCCTAAACCCTAAACCGTGTGGTTATTTAACTCCACCCCCAACAAACCCATTAAGTGTTCATTAACCTATTCAACTACAACACTCTGTCCCAGGTCAAGGGGGTGCAAAGGGGGAGAGGGGTGGCAGAATCTGCCACCCCTCTCTCCCTTTTCACCCTCTTCACCCACGGCCACCGCCGCGCATGCAGTGGAGGCATACTTGGGGCTACATGTGATGACCTGAAATTATGATTCAGACTTGAGGGCACTCTGGCATTAGACAGGTTCCATCAGAATAGCAGGCCTTGTGCCACTTCCAGTCCCCTTGATACTGGACCACAGCAGCATACACACGCTTGTGTTCCCCATTTGGAGTCTGCACCATGACACCCTGCTCGAAGAGAATGTTGAAGGAATCAACGACCTGTCTAGCATTCACACGGACTAGCTAACAAGGTTCCATCCAGGCTTCCATGCATGGTTTGTACACACACAGCCTTACAGCAGAATGAACTACTTAAAAAAAACCCACAGTGCCTCCTCCATGAAGGTGTTGAGAGTGCCAGGGCCAGCACTTTGCCCCTCAGGGTTGGGTAACAGCATCTTGCTTATGACACAAGGTACATGACGGGTTCTTGTAGATGTAGCACTGGCTCTGGAAATCCGCTAGTGGGCAGCTTCGAGCATGGGGGTCCAGCACTATATCTAGTCTATTACATTAACATTAGAATTTCGGGCCTGTGGGTCTTTGGGAGTTGCATCTGTTTCTGGTGCGTTGGATGGTTTCTAGCTGACTAGAGACCTTGACTAGTTAGAATCCCCCACCTGCTGATAAAGAAAGAGGGGCCACACAGTCTGCAGGGCATTCTTGGAACTCTCAAGCAGCTTCCCAAAGGCCACCACCACAAGTTTATCCTCGTGTGTTTTGGTAAACCGGGCATCATCGCCCCAGACATACAATGGGATGTGCAGGTCGGTGGCCCCCATAGTTGGCATCCCGCTTGTTCTAGCATGTGACCAGAACTTTGCATTCTCATCCGCATCACTCAGGGGGATAATGCCATGCCGCACCAGCCAAGGAAACAGCTTGTGTGGAAGCACCACAGGAAGCTTCCTTATGTTGCAAGGTCTAGGCCGATCTAGAGCATTAAACATAAGGGCAAGGAGCCGCTTCGTCAGCACACCCTTTGCGAGCACCGGGACCTCCAAGTAGGAAACCGGAACCTCAGACACAGCAGCAACTTCGAGTAGCACATATTTTCAGTCTGCACAGAAACGACCAAGCTGAATCATATGTGTGTGCATATGCGAACAAGACACCTGGGAAGCCTTGCACCTTCGGAGCATATCCCGCTGCACGTTGCTCTGCCACTTCCCCGAAGTGTTGATCAACTCACCTGCAGCCCCACCAAGCTCGAGTCCATAGCCCTCGAACTCCTTGTTCACAGCTTCAAGCATCTGACGGGCCCCAACAAACGAAGTCTCCTCGGCTTGGATGCAGGCCAACAGCTTCGGAGACAGCAAAGGCGGCAGTTTCAGGGGCGGGGTTGCAAGGCTAAGTACTTCAAGAGTACTTGACATGTAATGTAGCTAGGCAACTTCACTGCAATTGGAGGCTTGAAGTAGGGTTTTGGGGGATGATATTTGGATCTGGGGGTCTGGCAGGGCGCTACTGTTTAAATATACTAAGCACAATGATGATAACAACGCATATGCACACAAGTGTGAGCCATCCGGCCAACAGTGATTGGGGTTTCAGGTTTAGGCTAAGGTCTTAATTATGCTTAAGCTTAGGTGTTTGGACTACTACTACATGTATATGCAAGCCAGTAGCCCCTTTGCCGATGCTGCGCATGACATAGGAGTGCAGAGGAGTGCTGGTAGAGCGACCTGCGCGGGCAGCTTCTACATATATTGCAATATGTAGCATCAATGATAGTGCTTCACAATCCGACACGACAGCACGACACATCCAGGTAAAGGTGACGTTTTTTTCCCTCGTCGCAGCACTTCAGCTGCAGAAGCTCCAGGCTTGAAAGGTTTTGCACCCTAATGAATGCTTAAAAAGCCTATGGCGCATCACAGCCGGACAGTGCAGCATCCTTGCATTGTATATATCTAGCGTTAAACAAGGCTACTGCATGCAACCAGGATTTCGAGGTACTAGCCCTGAAACCTAAAACCCTAGAAACCTAAAGCCCTAAAGCTCTAGCTGGTATTTGGCGGATATTTTCGGAACAAAGGTTGTGTGCATGTTTACTTAAGCAGACTGCCGCATCCCGGCTGCTGAATGCCCATGGCATAACAGTTGGTGCCAAAACTCCTCCGGACAAGCTATCTCGAGAAGGTCCGACAGCCTACCCATCTTCAGATACACCGCACAGGCATTGCAACCTGCTCACGATCAGCGGCCCCTGCCGCCAGCCCTGCCCTTGGCCTTCGCCTTCGGTTCCTTCGGGGGGGCCTGAGAGAAACGTGTGTAGATATGAAAGCATTGAAGAGGATGCCTAGTCATGAGATCAATCAAGCATCTAGTTTCGGCCTAGCTACCGTTGCAGCTTTCACAGCTTTGATCTTGCCGGCTAGCACCGTGAAGGCACTCTCGACGCTTCGCATAACCTGGTCGTACACGGCTTTCTCCTCACCCACCTGGGATGTTTAGGTTCAAACTTCGGAGGGGATAATATCACGACCTGACTAGAATTGAAAGTAGTACCATCCGTATTGTATGTATACTATAGGATTGAAAAGTTGTAGCATCCGTATGATATGCATCAACTTCGGAGGGGATACTATCACGACCTGACTACATAGGAAAGTCGTACCATCCGTAATTGTCTCTAACTACATGTAGAAATCGACTCTGGAACCGGGGCACAATCTCAGCATCCTCAAGCTTGCGGGAAAACCATGACTCCAGCTGTGCCCGGGCATCTTCCACCACCTTCTTGCCCTCATTGAGCTCATGCTCGTAGCCCTCCTTCATTTTCTCCGACCTGAGCAAGTGGCTTGTTCTATTTCGTGACGGGGCTCTCCGGTCTTCAGATTTACATTGTAGGGCCCAGGAGGTTACAACAATATCAGCATTTGCCATTGCGTGTGTCTAAACATTACTGGGTGTAGACTTAGACCCTAGAATCACTGCGCCTAACTCAATTGTGCTTAGCTGTCTTCCTGGCGACTACCACATTGCAGGTCTAGGTTGCAGGGTTTGAGATTTAGGGAACTAGCGTGTTATTCCATATTATACATAGACCCCGGAATAGAAGGCTAGGTTGCCACACGTAGTTCAATATGTGCTGTCTGGGAGACGGAGGCCACAGGATTACACATGACGACACCAAACCGTTCTTATAGTCTTAATTGAAGATAAGGGGCAGCTGGGTGGCACTGGGCAACTCGGTGGCCATAACTCTCGCTTCGGCCAGCTTGCTTGAGATCTGGCTAACCTTGGATGTAGCCTGTTTTCGGAAGCTGGGGCCCTTTCCTTTGCCCTTGCCCTTTCCTGGTGGATTCCCGGGCCCGGGTGTCTCACCACCTGGTCCACCTGGGGTGTTGGGTGGTGTGGGGAGTGGCCTGCCAGGCGCTGCTGGGACAATGCTGTAGCTCGAGCTCGCCGGGGCGCCCGGCTGATGGAATTGTGCCCTTAGCTGTAACCATACACACATAGCAGTTCAGGCCTGGGTGTCTAGCTGTACCTCTCCCTAGCACCCAAATCTTAAATACGAGGGGCCCAAGTAGTAAGCTAGCTAGATGTAAAAAATCAATCAAGGATAAACCCTAACTGGTAGAAGCCTCACTGCACTACAACCCAACACCCCCCGTGCCAGTAGCAAATTATTGAAATAATTAGTTATAATTCTGAAAGTCGCGGCACACAAGACCCCTGGAAGCATCAGCATCCAGCGTTCCCTCGGCCCGGAATTGGTGCTCCTGCGTCGTGGTCTCGTCATCCTCGAACTCCATCGAGTCGTAGACTTTGAAGCACTCCCACTCCTGCTTGAAGTGGTGCATGCTCTCGGTCCACATGTAATTGGAAGTGTGGTCTCTAGTGGTAGCTACAACCGACATCTAATATAATGCAGGAGTAAACAATATTGCAATACACATTAATTAGTGAATCGTGAATTCTGCAAATTTGTTATAACTCCTAGGCTAGGTTTATCTTCATCTTAGACATGCATATACCTAGACAATCCTTCGGCGTTTATTTTCGCCGCCAACGATAACGGCAATTATTCTCGCCGCCAGTTCCCAGAAACGCCGACAATAAACAGAAACGCAGACAAAAAAACAAAAACGCCGCCAAGGACAGTACACTTATGATGCTATGACAAGACTACCTTACACACGAAACAAGAGCAGCATGAAGCCCGACCGAAACCCTGAAACCCTGAAGCCCTGAAGCCCTAACCAGATTTGGGGTTGAGGCTTGGCGATGTTCGTGGTTAGGGCAGGTCTCATACAGACGAGGATTTGGGAACTCGAGGATAAGGCGAGGTTTTTTGATTCAGAATCTACGACTGAAAAGTCCTGAAGGCATAGTGGCTCAGATGTTTGGCATACGATGTCTTTGATTAAGTTGTAGAACCTTGGAACAATACTGAAGCCCTAAACCCTAAGCACCCTTAAGCCTCCCAGAACCACTCCACCCATCTTTGCAGGGGCTTCCTTCAAGGACCGTTGTAGCCCTGAACCTCAAGCACCTCTAAACCCCCACACCCCGGCACTCCAACCCTCATCTTTCGCCGGCCATCGTCGCCGAGCTGCTGGAGTCTGCTCTGCAGCCCTGGTGCTCCTTGGGTTTCCTGGACTTACACCCTAAACCTGATTAGGTTATACTATATTTAGGGACTGGTATACGTAGAGCCAGAGCCCGTGGAACACGTCAGAGCCGCAGATTCTGCTTGGACCGGCTCTGTCGGTGCCTCCTAATAAGAGCAGCTTTCTTCAGGAAGTGTCTCTGCAGCACCCGTTTGCTGATTGTTTTCACAGCAACTTTGGTCGATAGGGAACAGACTCGACCGATAAGGTCCTCTCCTTGCTCACACCCCCACATGATGGGGTTCGGGATGAGCTTTGCATTGGTCAGCAATGCTTGTCGGATCTCATATGCCACATGGTGGATGCCGTGGAATTTGGGTTTCAAGGCAAAGAAAGACATCTGCATCGTCACCGCATGTGCAGCCAGATGCTGGTAGCCCGACAGTACGGACATCAACCTCAAATAGAGATTTTGGGCACATGCCCTCCTCAGCCACAAACCATGTTTGTACATCAAAGTGAAGGCCTTCTGCGACTCCAGGATCGTCTTCTTCAGCACACGAAACAAAACAACATGTGCGGCAGGCAAGTTGGGTTTTCTCAGCAAGATCGTCACATAGAAGCTGAGATATTCCAACAAGAGCATGGTATCCGAACCCTTGGAGTTCGTCCAAGCGAAGTCGCTCAACCGTTTCAGATTGAACAACGACTTCGAAAAGTATCGCAAAGCTGCGGTCTTGTGGGATGCCAGTCGCCATAGTTTGAAGTGGGAAGCAGCGGTTGAGCCTCGACTTGATATTTGTATCATCGCTGCCACTCGGATCATCGTAATATCCAAGGCGAGCCAACAAAACCAGGGAGCCACAAATATCTCGCCCAAGCCCAACTTTGAAAAGATGGAACATG